TTATAAAGCAAAAGAATATTTTTCAACCAAATTCAAGCAGCAGGTAAGTTAACACTGTGTAAAACCCTCTGAAAGTAAGATATTCATAGACGAATCTGTGGCTTATTGAATTGGCGAGGATTTTCCTATCATCACACAACGTTAAGATGTCATTACCAGGCTAACTACGTCTCCTATCCATCAGATATAAACAACACTCCTGTTGATTCTATTCATTAGTATATAATATGCATTAAATCATGGCGTTGTTTCATCACGAACATTTCTACAGATGTATCGTTTTACACTTAGGTTTCGAGTTCTTGCACATTTGTCGAGGCACATAAAATGCAAATAGCGCTGCCTTTGAGATTTCGAGCAGGATTTCTATGGCATATATAATGAATCGTGCACGATTCATAGTAAATATCCTTGCAACATGTTCTACTTATTCCCTCTTTCATTTCGCAGTTTGTCCCACTGAATGAACTTTTGGAGAAAGATAGTAATGACTACTTGCCACATAACTCTGATGCAGTTTTCACTTATTATGCTAGTTCCAGGAAGGAATTTCCAAACACTTTACTTCTAACCGATAATTTGGTAGTTTTTATAATAATGGCTAAGTAACTGACAAATCTACGACAATTTGATGCTAAAGGACATATAACATAAAGCTATCTTGAGTTAATGCCCTTTAATACGCATAAACTACACCATGATTACTTCACTTTAGTTCTTCAATGTTAGACGAATTCAACAAAAACGGAGTGCCGTTTGATTTAACATCGACAAAATTCAGGATAAAAGTAAATGATAATGTGTTGTAATCTGAATAATACAATATAAAAGCAATCTTTATATAAACATGATGTGAGTAGTGATATTGCAACCATCACAGCTATCAGAAACAAAAAGATTGGAATTAACGGTTATTATACAGGATCACATAGGGTATTAGAAGGACCCTTGCAGCGTTATTGAACTCTAGCCAAATCATTCAACAGGCAGGTCATTAGATGTTGAACAATCTTCCAATCTTCGTGGAGATCAACGACAACCGACGCTGATTATCCGATCGCAAGCCATCGACAAGTGCATGTGACAGATGTTGCAATCTGTTTCTCGTACCTATTCTTTCTAACTCATCACTGTAAAGAATCATGTCTGCACTATGTGGTCATCAAACTAGCCATGATGCCTGTATTCACCGAAAGGGTAATCAATACTAAGTGGCAACTACAAAATGTAACTCTAGCATGAGTTCAGGCGTCCTAACATTCCCATCCAACTCCAGCACGTTTGCCACCATGGGGACAGATAACCTAAGTTGGTGATCTAGATGCTGTATAACCAGAGGAAAATATAGATGCTGCGGTAAAACAATTGAAACGAAAGACAAACCGGTTAAGTGCGTTGTTAGAGAACGGAAGTCAGTTGACGACAATCCATGCGACAGAAAGTAACGAACGGACGAAAAGTAGTTTAAAATTACTAAAAGAAGTAAACCTCAACTTGTTCAATCAATCAATACGGAGACTGTAGTATCAACAAACGGTGATAATAAATGACCATATGAAGCTGAAAAACAAGACTGTTAAGTACAGTTCCTTCATTTATATGGCCTTGAATCAAGTTCCGGATATTATGAAAGATGAATGAATGCTATGAAGAGGAAGTGTCGGGGTATTGGATCCCAATCACACGATCCTTGAGGAGAAATACACAATAACTGGGAAAATTTATATTGAATACTTAATGCCATGAAAAAGGTCAGAAACGGTGAACGCTTGAACACGTAATAAGTATGGCATGGTTTAGTCACCCAGAAATTGTCCCTATACGTACCTTGTAACTTTTCATATGAAGTACATTATTCTCTTTCCAGCCCAAATATGCTCTTTAGGAGTTCATAGCTTCAAACATTACCTGTATCGTCTTTATCACTGATCGAAACAATTTGTAGCTAGACCTTCATTTGTGCCATTAATTGAATCTATGTTGACTGTCTCTGGAAATCTCTTTTAGAGAGATGTGTATTCAACATGCATTTTATGGTGGCACAGTCATGTTCAAGTTCATTTGAGGCTGTGGGACAAAACAGGTTGACACGTTACTAACGCATAGCCTATGAATCACTCATTTGCTACTTCACTTTGGTTAAATCAAAGCGAAAAACTTTGATAACTGGGAACTTCACTAAGTGAATGATGTTTATTGTATACAGAAAACAATTTTTTCATGAACGTTCACGAACCTATCACTAATGATTCTGTCCTCTTCTGCACGTCATTTCTAGAACTGAGTTATAGAATTGTTGTGCAGAATAAGATGATATTGTTCAATAAGTAGTTCAGAAAGAAACTTTGTATCAAGTGAAAACTCAGTGATACCGAAGAAGCATTCACGAAGTATCGTGAACTTGCCGAATCTTATCAAATATTTTATTACGTCATATGCTCGATGGCATAACATTCCATTTAATCTTCGGTAGTCCTATTTGATCTCATTTAGTGTGAAAATATGGTGTTACCTTTCCCACTCCAAAAAAGGTAAGAAAAAAATGGAAGTCCTTCAGGGGACCTATATCAATAAGAGTGTAGGCATCTTGGGGGTGACCGTCTAGACATTCTAAGGCACCACCTTACATACCTATTAAGGCCCAGAATCAACACCAAACTTTGAGATCACACCCAGAATCAGTAACACAACATGAAAGAACGGACAGTAGGCATATATTTTACCTTTGCGGAGTGGTCAAACTCTGGAGTTCGTGACCAGCTGAGGCTATCCAAGCAATTTCCAAGAATCCCTTTAAAGAAATATTGACATATTCCTAAGGACTATGGATAGCATCTCATTATAATATATCAAAACTTTTTCTGTTTTGTCTGTTAAATATACTTACGTTCCTACTTGGAGGAATCGGCGCACCATTTCTACTAGATACGAGAGCCTGTTAAATGAAAGCTGCTTCTATTCTATCCAGAATGGATAAAATCGTCCTTTGTGGCCGAAGACAGAGAGTGAGTGTAATTGAGTTACTAGTTTAGTGGAGTCCGGTCGGATGTAGTTTACCTCAAGGCATCATCCTAAGTCCCATACTTTTCCTTCTCCACGTCAATGAATTGCCACGTTTGCTGAGGTCGTCGACATTATTCCTTGCGATTGATGTCAAAATTTGAAGAACAATAAGATCGTTTTGATCTTTAAACTGACCTGGACGAAATAATCCCAATTTTGGGGCCTAAGATTTGACTGTAGAAAGAGTGTGCTCATGCACATCGGATACGGTAACTAGTACTGGTATACTACCGACGGTACGTCTCTTCTATGCATACAGGAACATAAATACTTGAGGGTGATAACAAGTCACGACTTCAAAATAAACACGCATTACAACACAGTAGCTGCCAAAGTTTCTGGTACCTTAAGGTTACCTTACCGAAAATTTATGTGGTTTGACGAGATTTTCAAGTTTTATCTATCACCTACGTAAGACCACACTAAGACTGCTGTATTCAAGCAGCTGGTCAATATCTTATCAACGATACTAACTCACTTGAACGTATTCAGCGTGTGTTGACAAGATTAGTTAAAGGCCTTCTTAAACTCCCTTAAGATCAGCGCTTAAAACGCATGAACCTTTTCCCCTCATCGTATCGTAGAGCGTGAGACGACGTTATTTTAGCATTCAGTATTTTCAATTACAACTTGTGTGTTAATATATCTCATCTTCTTGCTCCTTTCAGCATTATTATTCTTCGAGGCCATAGAAAGGTTAAGAAAAACCGCGATATAATAAACTCAGATTAGGGTTCCGTTTTTCTTATCGAGTGGTCAATGACTGGCATACCTTACTCAAGTAAGTAACATCAGCCCCGTAATTGAACCTTTTTTTAGGATAAACTGGATCTTTATTGGAAAACAAACTGTAAGAATTAATATAGGGATACGGAACCAAGAGGATATACAGGCACTTCAGGAGGATCTGACTCGACTTCAAAGTTGGGAAGACAACAACGGACTTACCTTTAACACTTCAAAGTGTAAAGTAGTCCATCTGCGACATGTCGCAGATTATAGTTACAACTTAGGAAACTCCTCTCTAGCTGTATCCTGAGTTGAAAAAGATTTAGGAGTTCTGGTGCCCTTATAGTCTTACGCCAACTGTGACAGAAATGCCTCTCGAGCAAACCTTGCACTGGTAACATTGAAGCGCATTTTCGGCCAGTTCGATGGAAGAACTTTCCACATAGTCTTCAACAGTTTCATTCGTCTCCATTTAGAGTACGGAAACACAGTATTCCCTCCTACACTCCAAAAGGATAAGGACACTCTGGAGCGTATCCAACGGTGAGCCACGAAATCAGTTCGGGGACTCAAATTTAAACCTTACGAAGAGCGCCTCCAATCACTCGACCTTTACCCATTAGAGTATAGGCGTCTTAGAGGTGACCTTCTAATGACTTACAGTATCCTTAACACACCTGGACATCCTCTTAAATACCTACTTAAGCCTAGTCCGAACGCTAACCTAAGGGGTAACACCCAGAAATTAGAGACACAACATAGTAGAACGGACTGCAGACACAACTTCTACTCATTAAGAGTTGTCAAATGCTGAACTTTGCCGGCGGCTGAGTTAGTCCATGCGACTTCTCAGGAGTCCTTTAAGAAGCGACTTGATCTATTCTTAAGGACTAAGGATAGTATCTTACTATGATTTACCAATTTATTATTTTCTCTTTTATCGTTAAAATACCTAGGTTCTTGTCTAGAGGTATTAGTGATCTCTTGCTACTAGACACGGAACCCTGTTAAGCGAAAGCTTCTTCTATTCCGTCCACAACCATTTGAACCATTTAGGTCCACCAATATATTACTACGACTGTAGATGCTAGCTGAATGTGAAAATTTCCTCCTATTTATGCCCAAATTAACAAAGCTGCCCAAGCAGGTCTTTGGTCATTTCTGCTTGAATATAAGGGGTGAATGGTGTTGCTTTAAAATGATCTTAAGGAGAACGAAAACCATTCACGTTTCTAGCGCTTTATTCATCCACAAGGTTGTAAGCCGTCATCTTGGTTCCTTTTGTTAGTTTGATTTTTTGTTATATATAAGAACTCTGAAAGTTAACATATTACCTCTGTCGAAATTTTGTCTGTTAATCTCCTTTCCAGGATTTGTTTGTGGTGACTATCAGGCTTTCGTCAAACATTAAACACTAGATTCACATCATAATAAAATGGCATCGGGTCTTGCTAGATCAAAGCTGATGGTAATTTATATTTATTTGTCTACATGTATTGTCTAAGAATTTCGCTTTTAGGTGCCAATGGAGCCCTGTCTCACTCATTTATCGTCCTGAATGTTCCTCTGCAAAATTTAGTCTTTCTGATTACAAGTCTTTTAAGTTAGATTCCACACCCGCAAATGAAACTGAATGCAGTCGTGACGATGCACTTAAATACCTCGAGAGTCTTCACCGCATTCGTAGAATGGAAACGGCACTGGGTAACATGTATAAAGAAAAGCTCATTCGCGGTTTCTGTCATCTATACTCGGGTCAGGTTAGTTACAATTTTAATCGTAATTCAATGTTTCTGCTCCCTGGTTCCTGTTATTATTCCTTAAATGGATTTACATGCTTCATAGCTTGCTTGGTGGGACATCTTAATCCTTCAGATGTGTACTTCATTCCTTCTACATATGGAATGAAATAAATTCGTGTCGCTATTTATCACTTCTTTTCAATGGAGTCTTCGGAAGGCTGTCGTGGATAGCCTTTTTAGATCTTTGTGATTGGGTACATCCTTCATAACTTGCGGATAAATCATTAGTCATGTTATTGCTGTGGTTCTTATCTTGCTTCTAGAATATTTTCAAAAACAAAAACAGGTGGTTGTTCATACAATGGCCTACTGCTATCTCTTTTGATTGCAAGGCGATTTCTAACCATAATATTGTGCTCATTAGATTTCCACATACGTTTACAGTTTTTAATTATATTTTTGGTGTTTCTTCCTCGAATTTCCTTATTACGTCCGGGTGGTTTCCGACTTGACTGTGTAGGGTTTGGTGTAAGGAAATTACGCTCAGTCAGTAAACTGAAATGTTGAGACATTAAAAACCAAACGTCTCTATGAATGTTGAAAAGTGTAGGCAACAGAATAGTTATGGTAAAAGTATAATTTCTCCGAAATTTAACACTGGTTTTAATTAAATGAAGTTAAGTCTGACACTCATCAAGTGATTAGGGTAACTCCGTCGACTAAAACAGATGTATTAAAATTTGCATTGATTTCAGAGGATTTTTTCACTTAGTCCTTCCTTGATCAGAATATTCTTCATGACCGGTACACGGTCACCCGACTCCATTCAGTTGTGTAATTTTAAAGCTCAATCAGTTATCTTAAATTTCAGGTTAATAGTTGTGATATGAAACGTACTTTTCACTGATATTGGAAATATATTACACTAAAAGAAATAAAGGTTTGTTCAGAATATTATGTTACTGTTTTACTCTGCGAAATGACTTTTTCGAAGGATGGAGTTTGTCTTTTTTTATTTTAGCACAGATTTGGTACAAGGAGGCACTAGATACATATGCGCCACATAAATCTCATTTGATTTGTGTGAGGGCTGTGATACTGCCCGAGTGCCGAAATCGAAGCAGGTGGTTTTCTTAGGGGGCCACCTCCGGAGCCCTCGACTTGAAGGAACAAACTTACACATTACACAGACTTATTGGGGTGATTTCTTCTATTATGGGATTTACTATAAGATATCTATTTTTATCCATACACGCATCATTTGTTTGTAGAACGATTTGGTGCAGTATAATTAAATAGTCTTTTAGGGGAAACGAATGCATACCAAGCAGCGGTAATTTAATTTATAGGTAAGATATACACTTATGTGACCTAAACGAGTGTGCTCCGTCACGTGAACTCGAAGGAAGCTCATAAGTATGACTGTTAGCACTCTCAAGCTTCAGAATACAAACTTGTGAATTGAAAATGTGAATTTTTTCTTTTGCTTAGAAATATAAAGGTTCTTATCTGTTTTCAGGCTTTCTTTTGGCAAGTAATTATTTTTAGTTTTCTCATCTAATCTTTAGGAAGCAGTTGCAGTTGGTATTGAGGCTGCTTTACAACCAGGCGATACTATTATCACTGCTTATCGCTGCCACGGCTTTACAATGACTCGCGGTGTTCCTGTCCACAATATAGTCGCAGAACTCGCAGGAAAGAAGACTGGATGCACAAAAGGGTTAGGGGGCAGTATGCATCTTTACGCAAAAGATTTCTATGGTGGTAATGGCATCGTTGGCGCTCAGGTATATTTGTTTGTTTTCCGTACAATATTTTGACTTTCTTATTTGAATTAGAGATTCTTGTTATATCTTCTTATGTTTGATGTATGTGACTGGCTAATCTTTAATCGCTATCATACATCTCAACCTTTATTTTCAGAATAAATGTCTTACGATCTGCATACGTGGTACTTCTTGTCTTTGTATATTGATTGCATCAATTATTACCAGTATTGGGACTTAAACTGTTTTCTGAATTATTGCTTGATATAATGACAGTAAACTTGTCTTTACATCACAGTACACAGTTGTTTAGACTAAGGCAATAGCTTATAAATTTAGGTTACGCTTTAATTAACGAAACCTTACACCAATCCTTCTTTAGAAATCTGATCAGGTACACAGGCAGTATTCCAGCTCTTACACATATTGAATGATTTGTGTGTCGCATATGTATTTGGTGCCTTCTTGTACCAATACTTATGTGTTTATGTAAATAGATAAGGAGTCTGAGTTATGTATATCTTTCCAGTAGAGTTAGTTCATACACCATATTGATATTGTTTTATGATTTGTGTTTCACAGACTCCATTGCAAACGATAAGTTATTTCAATCACTGTCGCGTCCGTAACAAAAATGTTATTAGGTCAACTTATCTTGTCATCAGTAATGTATATGAAAATAAACTAAAAAATCAGATCAGTATGTTGACTAAGATATTTGTTGGATAGCCACTCCAAAAGTTTTTCTGAAGCTTAAAAGTTTCAGGTTATTTAGTTGTGCCTCCATCAGAAGCACACCTTCCTAGGCGCTAGTAACATACTGTCTGGAAATTGTTTAGTCTGTCACCTGAATTCTTTTCGTGTACTTCATAGTTAACGAAAATTTTTCACCGATAGTTCATTTTCTGTCTTCTTTGATTTCGTGATCTCATGCTAGTAGTAATGTATATAACTCTAAGTTTGTCTATAAAACGTATTTCATGGGTAGAGTTATTTGGTTTTGAGTGCCAAGTTTGGTCATAAGAATTTCTCAACATTTTGCGTTTACAGTATCATAGCTACTAGGTTTATCTATTTCGAATTTTTCTTGTAGTTATTACCAATTAATAACGTATATTTATATCCTCTTTTTGCCTTCCAGGTTCCTTTAGGTGTTGGAATAGCATTACGTATGAAACATCGTGGGGAAAAGTTTGTTTCTGTAACTCTTTATGGAGATGGTGCGGCTAACCAGGGACAGGTGTTTGAAGCCTTTAATATAGCGAAGTTATGGAATCTTCCTGTGATTTTCATTTGTGAAAACAATAAATATGGTATGGGTACATCTGTACAGCGTTCATCGGCTAACACTAATTACTATACTCGTGGAGATTACATTCCTGGATTGTGGGTTCGTCTTCATTTGTTTCCAAGAAATGATTATGTAGTCTTTTTTATTTATTTAGTACTAGTAGCTGTTCTTTGTTTAGGTATAACTTACGTAATTTCCGTTTTTTTTTGTATTTTGTTGTTATAGCACTAATTTTAAGTTTTCATTCCGTTTAGTTCAATCTTCTCACGGTACTAATGTTTTTAAGATGGCTTAGTTGTTCATACTATAAAGTTTCCACAGTTAAATTATTTGAAACCCATCTCTGCAAAACTACTTCTAAGTACTCATAATGTGATATGTCATGACACACTTGGTAAACTATCAATTTTGTGTTCTCGGTCTATTTAATCAGACAGTTAATCTACTCATTTGCCAGGTTGATGGTATGGATATACTTACTGTTAGAGAAGCCACACGTTTTGCTGCTGATTGGTGTCGTTCTGACAAAGGACCAATACTGTTAGAAACAGAGACTTATCGTTACCATGGTCATAGTATGAGCGACCCAGGCACTAGTTATCGTACACGGGAAGAAGTTCAGTCGATGAGGCGTGGACGAGATCCTATTGCTTTATTCCAGAAGAGCATTGTGGACAATGGGCTATGCACACAAGATGAAGTTAAGGTAAAGTAATTTTGTGAAAAACATTTCAAGTGTTTACAAATTTATATGGTCTTAAGATTTTTAGGAGTTTTTTTTACTTGATACACGGTTATGTAGGCCCATTATTTAGAAATGTTTTCTTAAAATTAAACTGAACTTGACATGATTTAAGTGATCAGTGATGTAATGTGATTGTTATGATTAGTGCACATCGTATGTGATGTCATTGGTTCTGGTAGTTCGTACTTTTCTGTTTGTTAAAAATGTAACATTTATACTTCAAGAGCATCGGATTACACTACATAAACATATTACAGTATTGTTGTAAATGAAGGTGGTATTTATTTACAGTTTTCCTGAGCAGGACTTTTGACTTCACTATTGGCGTCATTTGTTCTGTTTGAGTCCTTGCAAATGCGTTCTTTCAAATTAGTCTATCAACTTTACTTAGTCAGTTAGTTCTGTTAGTAGTCAATGTATAGCAAAATATTGAAAAATGTCACTAGCACTGGTTTCGCAAGTAAGTTTCATTTACCGAATATTAACCTTAGGCATGTACATGGTGATTTGACCAGATGTAAGTTGCGTTGTGAAGCTAGTGACAATTATTTTTGAAGGTATCAATACCAAGGTTTGATTTGATAATTTCGAATAAATTGAGCATTGGGTAGATTGTTATAAATAAATAATATATTTGTAATATCCCAATGAGTAGAAAAATTAGATTTTCTGACGTTTCGTGACTTAGGGCAAGCCACTTCTTCAGAGAATAAATAACCAAACAAAAATTAATCCAAGTTTAAATATTACAACGGAACAACACGAATATTATGTGATCAATCAAAAAATAGGTTTTTTGATGTACCGGATGTATTACTATCGGATACACCATTTACATATATTACTATGAGATAGTGTAACAGTCTTGTTTGTAAAATGACATTTTAAACTTCTAGTCTGAAAACAGTAGTTTTTCTCCCTAGCAGTTTATGCTTGTAACACGGTCTTGAAAAATATAATTTGCATATGTATGATGAAACCGTCTATTATGTAATATCAAGCTTAGGTTTGGGTATTGGGTAGACGTGGTAAACGTGCTGATACTAAAATTCACCAACAAAGGTGGTTGGAACATTATATTTTTCCAACGGCTATCAAGAAGAAGAGATTTTAGGAGGTAAACCAGGAAATTACACGGGTCTGCATTGTAATTGATCGTTTGCTTCTATTGTGTAAGATGATGCAGATCCCTTAGTTGGGATCTTTAATTAAGTCGTAAATGATGATTGGAGACTTTTAGTAATATGCCTCAAAATCGGTTGCAGTTGTGCATTCAGTTGTTCTTCTTCTCGGAAAATGTGAGCTAAACGTTATTCAGAACTTTTCAATCTCACAGTTTGACATATTGCTCAAAAATTATTGTCTTTGTATTTAGCTCTCGTCTACTTTTTATATCAGTATTTCAACATCTATGGTTGCCATCTTATTAAATTTCTCTCTTTGCCAATTGATGTACGTCGGCTCCTGCTCTGTCTTCAACTGAAGTTCCATAGATGACTAAGTAAAAATCGACTTAATAATTCTTTCTCATTTTTTATAACAGAAGTGGTTTTTAGTCGGCATTATGTTTACTGTATTTTATTTTTTAATTCGTTTGTAGGAGATCGAAAAAAGAGTTCGAACTGAAGTAGATAAAGAAGTAGAAAGGGCGATGAGCGACTCAGAACCACCACTAGAGACGATGTTTGGAAATATTTACCATGGGATACCTCCAAATTACAAGATTCGAGGTTGCGATTTAAAAACTTGGGGTTCACCATTCGTCACTAAGTAGCTAGATAGTATTACGTGTTCTGAAGTGTGAAAAAGCTGGTCAGCAAATACTACCTAATTTATTAGTCGGGCTTTTAGTATTTTCTAAGGTACGAAGAATCACAAATATTTAATCTTTTCATAATACAGCCTGTATACCTATGAATAATTTTATAATTTATATCGTCTGAAATAAAATCTTATACTATATTAATGATTTCATTATCTGTATTTTGTGGTCTAAGATGTTTTTTGAAGGGGATAAATCCCCGTTTTCTCATATAATCCCGAATTTAAGCAAATCTATGCAAAGTATAAACTTACATAACTTCCTTTTACAATAATACCATATGGTAAAATGTAGTTTCGTTAGGTCTTTGATTAGGGATCCGGTGCATATTACTTTTTTAGCAACATCTACATACATGCTGTACACAGAGAGCTAGTTAAATTATATTTTCTTTATAACTTATTTAAGCTAGATGCCCCTCCGATGAATAATTTCTAGTGAACTCTGTCACGGGCTCTGCTTTCCAGTTTCCGATAAGTGGTATTCATGGTCCTGACGTCTGCTTTCGATTCCCTGCGTCATGTGTTCTTCAGTTTGTCTCTCTTCCTTTATCCTTAAGCATCCCAATTAGGCCTGGCTTTGTGATCCAGTTTTGGGATTTCCGATAAGTTCAACATATCCACCCACAGCGTTTTTCCCTATTTCGATCTCAAATGATAGATCCTCTTTTCATTGTCACAATAGGTCATGGCTGATGGTCTCTGGATAGTAGATCTGAAGTTTCTTGCGTATATAGATGTCCATAAATACCTGTATATTTTTGATGTTAGTTATGGTGGCCCTCTAAGTCTCAGCTCCATACGATAGAATTGTTTCAATGTTTGTGTTAAAAATTCTAACCGGTATCGTGTGACAAATTTTTCGAGTCTCAGATATTATTCAATTTCAGGAATTCTGTCTCTGCTTTGCCAACTCGCGCCTTAACATCTTAGATCCACCTTGTTTATCGATGTTTCTGTCCAGGTATAGAAAGCATTTTACCTCTCCCAGAGCTGCACACTTAATTGTAATTTCGTTGTCACTCAATGTATTGTACTTCAGGATCTTGATTTTCCCCTTGTGACTGTTAAGGTTTATTCCTACGGAAGCTGCTGTCTGTCTTGACCTAAACTTGTTGTTGTATCTGCGATAACAGGGTTAATTCATCTGCAAAGTCAAAATTATTTAGCTGCATCCAAGGTGTCCATTGTATTCCTTGTTTTCCCTGGGATATATGGGAGTTCATTATTCAGCCAAAAGCTGGCATAAAGAGAAAAGATGAGAGCGAATAGCCTTGTCACACCAGTCTGCACGTGAGATGTATCTCAGAGCTGCTCTCCATGAACTGCCTTGCAACTCAGTCCCTCGTAGGAATTCCGTTTGATCATGACAGTCTTCTCACGTACTTCATAGTGTTGAGGAGATTCCACAAGACTTTTTATCCACACTTTTTCATAATCAGGGAAGCCAATGGATAGAGATGAGTTTCAGTTAATGGTTCAACAGTGATCGGTAGCGTTGCACTTTGGTTTTTACATGATCGATCACTGCGGAAACTAGCGTCCTAATTTCGAAACCGGACATCTACTGAATCTTTCATTTGGTTGAGCAACACTGTTGGAGCTGTTCTCCGGTGTTAACAGAGACAATCCATCTGTAGTTCCCGTACGTACTATGACCCCTTTTTCTCGGTATATTTTTGAGATGTCCCTGTTTTCAATCTATGTACTTGTTCTTCCTCCAAAATATTTTTGCAGACAACGTGAAACGTCTTTACGGTTACTACTATGCCTGAATTTAGTGCTGTGACTGTTATGATATCTGATCCTGCAGATTTATCTAATGGCTCTTGTATATTATTCTATTGCTGGTGCGCTGAAACATACAGACAGGTCTGTATGTTGCTTTGATGTTCGGTGGATTCATAATCCCTGGTATGTTGAAGAGCTCTTCAAAGTGTTCCAACCACCTGTCCCTCTGCTCTTGAACCTCGGTGGTTGATTTACCTCCTTTATTCCCGACTGTCTACTGTAGGTTACAATATTTGACTGCAAACTTCTTATCTGTGTCGTATCGTTCTTTCATACTTTCTTCCTGTGCTGTTTGTTACGCTGTAGTTGCCAGGTCTTCAACATATTTTTGTTCGTCAACTCTGATGGTCTTCTTCACTCGTGTGTTTGCTTCTGTATATTCGACTTTTGTTTTGGTTTTCTCCAGTCTTGTTCGGCTGTTCCCGACTACTATCTTCTTGTGTTCCCTATCTTGAATCCTTACCCGGGTATCGATAGAGACCCACTCTTTAAGATGTTGCTTCGTGGGACCTATCACCTGGCATGTTCAATTTATCCTTCTTTTATTCTTTTTCGAATTGTTTTTCATGGTGGTTTCCTCTTGTTGTAGTAGATTTTTTAAGGCTTGGAACTTGTTTGCGAGAGCTTTCTCTAACCTGTTGTCGAAGGGGAAGTTGTCTCGTGGCTTTCAAAGATATGACTTTCACCATGAGGCGTCACAACTCTCCTATGTGACGATCGTTCAACTGCCAGAGGAAAGTTTGTTTGCTCTGACCAGCAATTTTGTAGCTGGGTTGTTATTTGCAAGATAAGGTTGCCAAATTTACATTCAAGTTTGCACTACACGTGTTTTAAACTGGCATTTGCTCCAAAGGAGCTGTAACCAGAGTTTATGTTTTTAACATCTGAGTTTCCAGGAAATTAGAAACGATTGTGGAGATTTGCTGTTTCAGTATATTCTATGGGATGTAATAGCTAATGAAAAATGCGTAGTCATGGAAACGTCACTACATGACATTCAGCTGTCATTACACTCAAATAGTCTTGACTCAACGCTTCCGGAAATTGGATTCACCTCAGTTTTCCATTTTTATACTAAAAGTATGGTGATACATGTATGTAAGCCAAACAGATAAAGATGGATAACAGAAACCGGATTTTACAGCCGGAGTCTGAAATATTGAGGTAGATATACGGTTTATCATATACCTTCAGTGGTTTCATATTAAATTCCCATGCTATCGTTTTACCATTGTAATGATGTTTTCACTATCGTATTCCAATTGAAAATTTCCAGAGCAGGGTATTGAAAATGATAGTGTTTAAAATAAGAAGTATTGGTTCAGCGAAGAGTTCGCATTACTGTGAATTCATTTTCAAAGCTGTACAGTCGTAAATATATACTTGTTTTCCCGAAGTCGTACTATTTGCAATAATAGTAACAATTAAACTTTGCTAAACAGTGCTAATAATGAGGAATTAGTGGTGTAATATTTGTATACATTCCCTACATGATACTATTGACTTCACTAATTACATATAAAAGTGAACGTAACTGACAAACTTATCTTTTCTCTATATATCTTATCACTGTTCACTAATGTTCCTCTCACAGAGACCATCAGGTTTATCTGCAAATACACAAAAGATAATGAGATTAATTCGAACTTCCGGAGTCTTATTTGAAGGAATTATTATTGCGATGCATTTGTAATGTACCGTTTACATTCAACTACGTAATTCATAAACTAAAGGATGGTATAGAAATGGGATCTTCTCTTGTTCCATTACTAGCAGATTATTTCATGGCCGATTGAGAAAAAAGTCATCTTAAAATAACAACTTTTCCTTGTGTACAAGGTACGTGGGTGACGTTTTTATCATTTGTGACAATAAATATGATATGAATCGTCTAAAGACATTTAAAAACTGCCCCTAGGCAATAGATTTCATACAACATTGGAAACAAACGGTGTTCACTTTCTACATTTCGGAATGTCAAGCAAACATGACAGAACTCTAAGATCATGCATCTAAAGGAAAACCCTTGTGAAATGGCCAGCTATCATGTCTTCACCTCTGGGTCCCTACTAACTGGAGGCGAAGCTTAATTATATTTCTCGCTATACAGATACATGAATTTGTTGTCCCGAGACCATAGATAACAAACTGAGCTTTTTTTAAAAATATCGAAAACAGGTATTCTTTAATATTTATTGACAAGAATATAAAAATCAAACCACCTAAAGCACAAGTAACCTCCGTAGGAAAAAACAGTATATGAACATCTATTTCAAAGTGGTATAGCTACAGACTTCCTTAAGAGGAGAATTTCCAACTCTCAATATAACGTTCCTCGCAGCAAATTTGTGAATAGTGTACTCCAGCTGATCAACGTTCACCAATGATCGTAAGGATAAATGATCTGAGAATCATATAGTAAATATTAATTTTCAGAAGGGGTTTTGTGGAGATTTTAGAAATTTCACTAGTTGGAATCATGAGTCAATTGAAGCTAGACCACCATGGAAAACCTGGAAGCATTGGACGGCCGTTTCGTTCTAATATCGAACTCCTCAGCAGTGTACATCCGCGACCACGCCCCCCGCAAGATTCGAACCCAGGACCTATCAGTCTCGCGTGCGAGCGCTTAACAATTAGACCACTGAGCCGGCTTCCAATTGTGTTAATATCTGACTTCAACAAATCTACGAAATTGCGCCACCGTTGCCTTCAGTGAGCTTATATCTCACAACAGACCAGTGGAGTTCAACCAGGTCTGTTGAAACCTTGAAAGATTGACTAATAAAGAACTTACAAAAAACAGCTACCATTCATTCTTACTTAATGTACGTTATTTTGTATTATAAGATAAGTAGTGCTCCGAGTTCAATACTATGGATTTAGAACTTTTAATAACGAATGAAACAATTCCATCTAAATCTGTTTTGTGGCAGAAAGAGTCTAAGGACGAGAATAATGTTCAGGCGTAGGTTTCTACAAAATAAAAAACTTTACTTATAAATAGGTTAAACAAAAGCGCGTGATTTTGTTATTAGTCTTTCCCGATAATGAATGATCGTGACAATTTTTAGTCCAAAGTGTCAAAAGCAATATCCTTCTGAACATTAACCTGGTAGATTGCTTATGCTAAAACTTTGGCAATAAAATATAATATGGCATCATAAATACCAAGTAAGAGAAGTATTGAAAAGAAGAAAAGAGGTATTCACTTAAGATGTGGTAAATGCGCTTTTATCACTTCTTTTCATTTCTTTCTTACTATCATTGCATTCCAGAATTTTCGGGACACTCACGGACATCTAAAATACTACAAAAACCCTAGATTTTTTGTACATAAACGAACCTTTGGTTTAAAGCGTTTAGTTCCATATTTCGCGCCGCTGTGTAGATTTAGCCTGGGGGTTATTAGAAGAGCTTAGAACTAAATCTAGCGTTCAATCAAAAGACTTATCAGTTATGACAACGGGCTAGAGAGAAATGATCAAGATTGAATAACTTTCCAGCATCACTGCTGGTCTCGAGCAATAAATTATTTTTTGTCCTTCGAAGGTGTTGGCAAACTTCTCAGGACCACGAATCTGTGGAGCAGTTTATTCCAGCAAAACACAGATCTTATTCTTGCTAGATATTTTTTCACACCACTGTCCGGATAGTATAACAACTATCAGCATCTCTAACGTATTTAGTAACAGATGTTTACACATTTGCGCGTAATACCTATTTTTAAAGTTAGTTACTGTAATAGTGTATTTTCAGAGTGAAGTACTAAATTTACCTAGACATTTACAATGAACTGTGTCACTACATTCCGTCAGTGTGTGGGAGGTTTGTTAACTTGGGTGTTTTCTGAAATCTAGTACTTGAATTTACTTGTAAATCACTAACTCGTTAGTATTGACAGGTTATGCCAGAGAGGAAATTTAAGCCGATGTTACTGATAAGACAAGTCACTAGATTTGCTATTCTAAGTATTCTTTTCAGCGTTCTAGATAAATGTGGAAATTATTGATCGAAATGTACGTATTATTTGGTTTTTATTGAAATTAGGCTTCTTGAGACTTATTTATCGCAATGAAAGGATATATATATCACGATACTCTTTGAAAGAGTTAGAGTGTTGCTTTAACTTTAATTTACATGTAGATTAAGTCTTGCAAGCTTTGTAACTCTACTTGTGAACCAATACATTCCTTTAGATTCAGAGTGTTTATTTCACAAGTTGTAGTAGCCCAGCTGTATTTTACTGAACTTGACTTTAAGATGCTAGCAACTGTACATTATCAGATCGCTTATGTTCACCAGGGTTGTTTAAGGAGATTTCACACTCCTTTCAACTGTTAGTTCTCTTTATGGGTCTTTTGGATTTGGTTTACTATCCTTCTAAACTTTTTGCTTCATATTCGTAGTCATTTCTAATCGTATAATTCATTGTGATTCTTATTTTTCCATTAAACCGAATTGTTATTCGTAAACAAGAAGTTTCTACATAATTATCAGCCAGCAATCATAGGATCCATTTCATTAGTAACCGTGGCAACACAGTTTGTAATATCAGCGCCTACCTGATTAGATGATATGGTTTTAGTTTGAAAATATAGTAAATATAGAATGCCTAATATACTCTGAAGAAACAGCTTACATTAAGTTGATAAGCATCGGAGATTTAAATTTCCCACACATTGGAACTTCACAAATATATAACTAAATTTGTGATTGTGTCGAATTAGTTTTTTGTAGTAAATAAATTCGAAATATCAAATATTGTTCAGTGATTAAACGTTATTAGCAAAAATCTAATTCATCCCATTTATTATTCCACAGAAATAAATTTGTATGGTAATTTGTTCACCTTTCAAGATTCGAGTTTACCTAGGTTTTTTTTACATTATGTCGAAGATTGTTATTAAATTATTACTACATTGTCTTGTCTTATGTAACTTAGAATATGCGTATCGGACTCAAACACCAATGTCATGCTCTAACCCTAGAAATCAAATGAATTGTATATTTAAAAAATTATTTGAAAGTTGATTACCCCAGTTTTTTGAAGTTATTCATTTATACTGGCATAATTAACCAAGTTTAAATTAAAAACAATGTATCTTAGTATAATTTAAGGGTATTTTAACAGGAAAAAAATATCATCGTTAATTCAACAACTTAAAATACTTAAATCTACTTAGGTCAATTTAAAAGGTGAGATTATGGAAATATTAAATTTCACTACATTTTTGTATAGGGTTACATCAACATTCAAGTAATTAAGATTCATAATCTAATCGGTCAGCTGACAACACAAGTATCTACATTTAATGTTTGCTGACCTCACATTTCTTTGAATGATATATATTTGACTAATTAAAACTAAGGTATAACAGTATCTTTTAAAATTAATGGACAAATTTACTACTTATTCGGTAAAATGATCACGCTTTATAATTTGTGCCTATAAATACTCTTAATAATTACAAGAATGATCTAGAATTTTGAAAAATGTCATCATACGAATAGTTAATTAGATTAACAATATTATGGTAGGCATTTTTGCTAGTGAAATTGTAGATCATTAACTGAAAAAAGAACGTGTCCTGCACACATTTACAGAAGTTGGTTTGTAATCAAATGGATTCATGCTGAAGCGCCCCCAAATGCCCTGGTACGGTCGAAAGTGGGGAGAGTCCTCTCTCCCTCTCGAAATGCTCTCACATGGCCACGCGTATATAGCATCTGCCAGGGAAGTCCTACTCACTGCATTCTCGTGGCTGGGGTGTTGTTTACGAAAATGAGAGGACGAAAAGCGAATGTCTGGCGCTTTAACCGAACCTTAAACCAATGGTGCACATGGGCTCCAGTATCCTGCGGGAACAAATGGCGTATGAACCAATTTCTTGGTCACCGGCTTCCATGGGACTGCATCTCCTCACGATGCTCCACTGCCTTTTGGGTTAGACCTTTAGGTCGAAGGCTCGGGGTGTGGCCCCCTAAGAAAACCACCTGTTTCGGTCTGGGCACCCGGGCAGTATCTCAGCCCACACACTAAAACACGATGAACCATCAACTTATGGAAAATATTTTTTTTCGCTCCGATTAACAATGAAATAACTCGCACTATTATTATTACTACTACCATTTTTATTGTTATTATTATTATTATTACTATTATTGTTATTTACTACGTCATTTATTCACTCTCTTTTACCTCCACTCTGTCTATCCTTATTTTTCAACTCATACAGCAGCTCGCCTATGGAGGAAGCTTTGTTCTATCTAAACGATCTCTAGTCGCTGTCTCAGTCAGTCAGTCAGTCAGTAACAACGTGGAACTTCGTACGTACGTACATCAGTTCGAGTCGCCATACCACATTAGCACAGAGATTCAGTTATCGATTCAAATCCCATAGTGGTAGAGGTACTGAAAGTATAAGTAGAGATAGGGGACATGAAGGTTTGATGATGTTATTAAAGGAGTATAGTCCAGTGGAATAAATTGGGAAAGAAAATAAAGGACATGAAGAATTCAAAAGATTAGAGTTTGAGAGAACACAAAGAGTGGATGCACCTGCGCCATTGCAAACGATTTTGAGCCATGTCATTCAAGGTCTCTAACCATCGGTTGCTATCGTCTCGCGGACCCGAACCAGGCAGTCTACACTTAACAACATGGCTCAGTCCACTTGTCAGTGACTTCATGGATTTGTGCCATGTTTTGGTCTGGCCGCCCCTAGCTTTCTTCCAACCTACTCCAACACCATAAAACATAGCACGTCAGGGCAGTCGGTGGTCAGGCATGCGCAACAAATTTCCCAGCCATCTCAACTGATTAAGTTTCAATACTT